CCGTTTAGATTCTCTAATTCATTATGAAACTCTTGTTTTTACAAATGCATGGCATTCTCCGAAAGTAACAAAATGTTGCCAACCAGGGTTCCTATTGAGCTCTAAAATTCACAATAAGATAGTATTAGATTTCGATTTTTAAATTGTCCCAGCACTTTGCACAAGATTAATTCAAACTGAACTCAATCACTTAGAATTTAGGGAACTTCACCATACGTGTAACAAAAAAAAGGGCGAATTATATGGAATTACCTTAAAGTTATGTGAAATTTTTGTCTTCTGAAGGCAAAGTTCGATGACTTTCGAGTTCCTATAGGGCCTCATCTTCTGCTTCGTCTGACTCAACATTAATCAAGTAAAGCAATTATTTATTTGATTATTTGTGATCCCTGGTACTCATTTGTACTTGAGTGATGTGTGTCTTTTTATCAGATAAAAGAAAACTGAATTTACTTCCAAATGAAAACCGTAAATTTAACTCATGCATGAAAGTAGTGGTTGTGGATCATTAATCTGTGAATTCCTCTAGAAATAGGCAGTTGATTGGTTTTTCATCGATTAATATAAAATCAAAGCTGATTCCTTCCCTTAAAACATTTCTCAAGTTTCTCATAGCTTTGTAAGCGTCACAAATCAAACGGCGTTCAGTTCTCCTTCAAGCCAAGACGTTGTTTCGATGGATCTCTCTGTTGTCGAGATCAATATCGAGAACTAAACTTTATTTCAAAGTGCTGTTGTATTACAAATCTGAACTGTTCGTGTTTTTGTTAGAATTGTTACAACTAACTGCCATCTTAGGGGTGAGGGAGCAATTCTATCTTCCATCGGACTGCAAGAGAGCATAAAACAGAACATTCAATCATCAATTCGACCGATGAATTACTTGACGAAACTTGGTGCTTAATCTTCAAAAATAACACTATTGAAGGAAAAGGCGTTGAAATACGATCAAAGATACCACCAAATACAAGAAAATTTTACATTGGATCCGAAGGCAACTTCTATTAAGCCTAATGAAGGTTTTTACCTACCTTATTTTTCATGCCTTGTCGTTAAGATATGCACACTGGAACCGGAACACTCACAATTGAATCGCACGTAAATGCTACACAGACCTCATATTTTTACTCCCCTCTTAAATTTTGTCGTTCTGCGGCAAGCCTCGATTAGAGCTACTGTAGAAGGACACTATAAAGCGTCGAAAAGAGCTAAGAAGGGAAAAACTATTGCGTCTCTTAGAGTATACGCCATCTTGGAATTTGCGGTTGATGTCACCAAATATCCAGTTTTGGCTTATGCGCA